TTTTTTGTGGAACCAGGGATTGAACTCAGGCCCTTGCACTTGCCAGGCAAGCGCATATTCCCCGGCCCCTCTTTGCTGTTTTCTGCCACCGTGAACTCTTCTTTGTGTGACTCTGCCTTAGAGCCAGCCAAGTATGGGATAAAACCTCCACTAACTGTGAGCTAAATAAATCTTTCCTTCCTTAATTTTGGGTGTCAGGTATTTTGTCCCAGGAATGAGGAAAAAGTAACTGAGACAAGGCAATATCATTTCATTTTCACATCATTTTTGTGGACTGTCAGAATCCTCTGACTCACACTCGCCAGGTTTACCTCTCAGTCCCTGGAACAGTCTCCCTGCTTACCAGACTCACTTTTATTCAACCTGTTTTCTGTAATCTCAGTACAAACATGTGTTTTGAAATATTTTGAAATAATTATTATAAGCAACTTATATCTGAACAGAGGCAAAAAGTAGAAATGCATAAATACATGGTAATTATGGTCAAAATAATGGGAGTATAAAAAGTGATTTCAAGCATTACACCACTAATATTTTTCACACATGTAATATTATCATCTTATACTGTACTTTTAAAAATAATTTTATTGCAAAATAAATATCAATGAGACAGTTTCACAACCAATTACTGGCACGTTTTCAATGATTAATACATTACATGTTGTTGTTAGTAGTTATTCATTGTACAAGATGCCAACATATATCCTGTCTCAAACACTATTATAACAAACCCCTCTATTCATTGAATTAAGAGAATGGAGCTGTATATCTATCCTAACTATTTTGAGTATACAGATACAAAAGGGTCATTCATTTCTATCTTTTCATTAGTTTTGTCAGAGAGGGACATTCCATTGTCATTTAAATGTTGTAGGTGCTTGAATTCAGCAGAATCTCCCAATATAGTCCAGTAGTCCAAAATAGTGGGTTTTCCATAAGACTGGCAAATGTCCAAAGTTGTTGACTTGAGCTTTATACAGCTCGGCATATTAATGTGGTTTTACTTTTTATACTTTGTTTTCATACTTTTCTGCTGGATGGTTAAGACCAAGATAAAGCAAGACATATATACTAAGAAATGTAACTTTTATTATACTGTACTTTTGATATATTTAAGTCAATATAATTAATTAAAAATTGTGAATATAGCTTTTCAAGTAATAGGAAGCATATTGTAAACTATTTATTGGTCTTTTATGTACTAAAATTATTGTATACTATGTGCTTATAAGATTTGCTGAATGAGTAAGTATTGTTTGTTCCAATTTTTTCAGGGACAGATTGCTTTAATGTACCCATCTTTGAAGGTCCCATACTTGAAACACAAATGAAGGAATTTTACAGGTCAGGAGAACAAGTGACTTATACATGCCCAACATTTTACTATATGGACGGTTCTAATGCTGTGACATGTGTTAATGGGAAGTGGATAGGAGAGCCAAAATGCAAAGGTATTTAGACGGAATTTACAATAAATTTATTCAATTGTCTTGGGAAATATAGAATGATCTCTTGCATCATTTAAAAAATAAGCTTATACTAGCTTTTAGGCCAAAATGAAGTTTATATATTGGAATAAAGAATACAGTTAAACAACCAGTAGTTAATCTCACAGCCCAGTGGCCTTCAAAATGTAGTCCCTGGACCAATAGAATCATTGTCTTTCAAAATTGTTACACATATAGAAAAAAATGCATGAGCTCCTCTTAGACCTACTAAACTAAACATCTGTAGTTAGGACCTTAAAATTTTAGAAATTTTTTTTAAAATAAAGTTTTATAGAGAATTTTATGCATACTTCAGCTTGTGGGTCGATATAAACTCTTAGCACTTTACACTTACCTAAAACACTCTAATGAATATTACATTGTTCATCTTGCTATACTTAAATATTTGCAAAAATATTAAACCACAGTTTTTACAAGTACACATTTTTGTTGTTTTCTCCCATCATGGTCTGGATTTTTATTCAGCATGTTCTTCTTTTATGTATGGTATTATTCAAACTGTATTCTTAATTCTTCACTTATTCTCCAAGGACATGCCTCTTTGCATTTATTTTTAAGAGATGCACACATGCATTTGAACATAGTATGATTACACAAAAAGAAATGTCATTCATTCTGCTTCAGATTTTTTTTTGCATTTTCAAATTCTTAGTGCATTTATAGAATTTATTATATTTATTCTACAAAGCTCAAATGATATTATCAAGAAATTTTTCCACTGGCTTCTAAGTTGTAAAACATGTGTGTCATATTTATATCATACCTATTTATGCTGGGTGGAGTTAATTTTTTTTCCTTTTTATTCAGATAATTTCTGTATGGATCCACCAATAGTTAAAAATGCTACTATAATATCAAGTCCGATGACTAGATATCCACCTGGTGAAAGAGTACACTATCAATGTAACAAGCCTTTTGAAATATTTGGAGAAGCTGATGTAATGTGTCTAAATGGAACTTGGACAGAACCACCTCAATGTAAAGGTAAAGTAGTATACTTCTCAAAATTATTTTGAAGATACAGTATGGATAAAAGATATTGTAAGAATCAAAGTAATCCTTGAAGAATGTATTTTAATGAAAATAAAATTGTATTGTTAATATTTTAATTCTTTAGTGGCTTGAACAAAGAATTACGATATCATTAGCATATAGTTTTATCAATAAACATTCAATTTGATTTAAGGAACAGTTGCAATATGAGAATTTCTTATCTGAAACATTAACTCAGTTATATTCTAAGCAATAGACACATAAAAATACACATTTTGTGCATTTAATGGCTGTAAAAATAACCACTGTGAAATGTGGAATAGGCAGTTGAAGATTATGAAATAGGATATAAATTTGAGTAACTTCAGTGTAAAGGTTATACTTGAAGATAAGTGGCTGAATGCAGGCATCCCAAGAATTACTGTATTTATAACAAGTTTTAATGTTCAACTATGGGGTAATTCAATATTTCGAGTTTAAAAAATAGGAAAACAATTTCCACTTAGAAAATTAATTATGTTGGGTATAGTTACCCTTCTTTTATTTAGATTATTGCTGTTTTCATATTGAAGTGAGTTTTATGTAGAAATAAGTCATTTGGACCTTGTTTATCTCTCCACCTTGATATTCTTAGTCTTGTAACTGGTGTATTTATTTTTTTGAAGGCATGTATAGTTGTTTAATGCATGACCATCATAGTAGCTGGTGTATTAACATAACTCACATTTAAAGTAATTATGGACATGTTAGAAGGTTTGTCTGTCAATTTATTTGTTTATGTTTGTTTTCTCAATGCTCTTTCATTTTTCTTTCCCTCCTTTTGGATAAAATCTTTGAAGAATTTCACTTTGATTTCTATTTTTTAACATATCTCTCTGATAACATAACTAATACTATCTTTTTTAAAAAGATGTTTCTTCATGTATTGGAACATATATTTTTTTCACTCTGTAATACAATTCTTGCCATATAGAAACTTTACCTCAACTTAAATCCATTTATCTTTCTCATATCTTAAATAAAAATTACTGTAGTATAATGAACATATAGATTAGAAATCATTATCCAATAATTATTAGCTATAATCAAAATATAATTTTGTCCCACACATCAAAAATAACTGAACAAACTCAGAAGAAAGAGAATCTGTTGTATTCCTTTCTTTTGTCAATTGCATAGCTCTTCTCTCTTTCCTGAAGTCATAATCGACTTATTTAAACGCTTTCCTTAGTTATACTCCAAGGGCAATTCTGAGGGAAATGAATTCTCATGGTCTTCCTTTGCTTGATCACTTCTTTGTGCCTCTAGGATAGTGTCAAGAGATGTAAAATTTGAGATTCTGTCGCTCGCTTACATGGCCTCCACGGCCACAGTTGAGAAATCCATTGTCATATTGAATTCTGGTCTCCCACAAGTAATGCATATGATACATATGGGTATGAATTTCACTAGGGTTGTCCTGATTTCAATAGGCTTCTTTAATATGCACAGTCACCATGTATAGAAAATATTAAAATTATTCTTTTCCAATTCAATGTCCTTACTTCTGTCTCATGGATCTCAAATTTTGGGTTTTTTTTTTTTCAAGTCTCTGAGTTTAATTCATATTTTGGTTCTCAGTGTATTTTCAATCTGGGATATTTCAACTCTTCTACCTTCAAGTCCATGGATTTTTCTGCCCACTGTTTCCAATCTGTTAAGCTCATCCAGTCAGATTCTATTTTGTTTTGTTTTTGTTTTCCATTCCTGTTATATTTATCAATTCTAAGTTCCCACCAGTTCTAAGTTTCACTGTGGGCATCATGTCTGTGTTCTCTTTTGTGCTGTCTTTTCTGATCTTTAGTGTGATGAATAAATGTTAATTTTATTCTAGATAGTTTGGGTATTATATATTAAAGCCCACATTGTATTGCAAGCTCCTGTCTAGTAGGTTGCCATGATTTTCATGCTGTATAAAAATAGATTTTTAGGACTGTTGAAATCCTGCTGGAATTGCAAGGGACGAGACAAGTGTCTGACTGTCTCAGTGTGTAGGTGGTCTGTACATAGAAGTTTCAGTCAGTGCCTCCCTCGCAATTGTTTTTCCACAATAGCTGAGATACTATGTAAAACAATATTTTGGTCTGCTAAGTTCTGCCTTTCTTGATTCTCTGATTAAAGAGAAGAGTCTCCTTTTGGAATTTTCTTCACGTATCTGAATCTCGTATAGTTCCTGGCTTGTAGTTTTCTCCAGTGTCACATTCAACATATATGAGACTCTAAAGGAAAACTCAGGCTGAACATTGATCTGCTGGTCCTTTGCCTATAAATTCCTGTGCTGATAGAATTTCCTGTATCTTCCCAAGTCTTCTTATGTTTTAAAAATATCTTTTATTAAATTTCTTTTTTGCTATAAATTCTTAATATAAGAAAAACATAGAAATGTTTTGTGTCCCTCATGCCTGTACAGGAAGCCCTTAATCCTTTATATCTTCTGCAAATGGCATGCTTTGAATTTTTTAAGAGTTGATGTTTCTTTGAAAATAAAAATAAGTGATTAGCTTCCTAATGGACCCTGTAGTGTTTTGTATACAAGAACAAGAAATTTTTACTGGTATCTTAGCTATTTACCTTTTCAGTCTTTATTTAACATATTTGCAATATTTAGCAATGCAAAACAGACATATTTGGGGATGCTTTATTTGCGTCTTCAGAAAGGTGAAAGGTAGGGGTTAAAAATGTGGCTTGGTTAATATGATTGCAGTGTCTTCAAGCAATGTTTCTGTTAATAGAAACCACAGAAATCTTGATATTATGTGTAGCATAGCATTTGTGTTGGCTTTTAGCCTGTATTTTGATTTATCTATCAATAAATCAAATGTTTTTTTTTTTTAGATTCTACAGGAAAATGTGGATCTCCCCCACCTATTGCCAATGGGGATACCACTTCATTCGCTCTACCAGTATATCCCCCAAACTCACGTGTTGAATATCAGTGCCAGAACTTGTATGAACTCCAGGGTGACCGGCACATAATATGTCAAAATGGAGAGTGGTCCAAACCACCCAAATGCTTACGTAAGTACTTCAATATTCTCAAGGACCCTGGAAAAATCAGTGCAATGAATAGGATTTTTCCTCTTGGCAACAGAACATTCACAGTAACAAACAACTCTTCTACTGAATAGTTGATTATCAGATATAAATTTGTAAGAAAATAAAAGCTAATAAATCTTTTTTAAAAATATTTGATTGATGGATACATTATGTATGTACTCAAGGTATAAAATGTGAACATTTTCTAAATTACATTTTAATTTTAATTTTATATTAACTATATTAATTATCCTCATCAATTAGAGTCAGTCTGAGGTTTTCATATATGCATACCTCATACACTCATCAGATCTAGCCTCCTCTTGTATCTATTGTCCAAAGCCACATATACTCTCCCAAAACTCTATTTATTATTGTACCTTCAGGTTAACTTTGCTTACTTTCTACACGTAAGAAAGAGCAAATATTATTTGTCTTTCTGTGTTTAACATATTTTAATTAATGTTCTTCAGGTGTATGTGTTTTTATCTAAATGATAAGATTTCAATTTTTATGGCTAAATAACATTCCACTGTGTAAATATACATACTGTAGGGCCCATGAGATAGCTCAGCAGACTGAGCTCCTGCTTAGGCAAGTGAAGGGACTGGGGCTTGATCCCCGGCACCACATGCTATGTCAGCCTCACCCTCAGGCACTCTGAACTGGCCACCTAGTCTGGGTATGGTGGCCCATGCCTGTGATCCCAGTGGCAGGGAGGCTGAAAAAAGCAGGATCACTGAGTCCGAGCTGCATAGTGAGACCCTCTACCAAAAAAATACCATACTACTTTTATTCATTTATCCCTTGATGAGAATCTAGGCTGATTCTGTATCAGTGTTAACAATAGTCATGCAGCCGTCTTTTGGCATACTGACTTCATTGCCTTTAGATATGTATACAGGAGTAGCATAGCTGAATTATATGAAAGATCTTTTTTAGATTTTTTTAGGGGCTCTTGTATTATTATCTGCAATAACTATTTTAATCTATATTCCCAACTTGGTATGTAAGAATTTCTTTTTCCTTGTCTCTTCAACCAGCATTTGCTATTTTTCAGATTTTTTTAGTAACAGAAATTCTAACTGGGATAACATGGCACCTCTTTGTAGTTCTGATATACATTTTCCTGATGGCTAATGATAGCGAACTTATTAATAAATTTGTTGGCTTTATTTCTTCTGTTGAAAAATGTCTATTCAGATTGTTTGTACCATTTTAATTGGATCACCTATTTTCTTGTGAGTTACTTATATATTTTGGATTGTTAACTTTCTGTCAGATGAGCAGCTGGAGGTTTTCTCCAGTTAAGTTCTCTCTTCATTCAGTTGATTGTTTTGCTGTGCAAAAGCTTTTCCACTTGATGGAATTCCCTTTCTCAATATTTGCTTTTGTTTTTTGTGCCCTTTTTGGTTCTCTTCCTCTTCCTATTTGTATGACTTTCTTTTATTTCCTTTGCCTAATTGCTCTGGCTAAAATTTCTAGCACTAACCTGAAGAAAGACTGAGAGAATAAACAGCCTCATCTTGTTCCTGATCTTAGAGGAAACATATTCAGTTTTCTCCTCTTCAGTATGTTATTGACTGTATGCCTTTATAATCCTGAGATATGATTCTCCTATACTAATTTGAGAACCGTCCTTGCTTGCATCACTGAGATGAAACAAATTTGATCACAGTAAATGATCGTTATGATTCTCTGTTGAATCAGATTTGCTACATTTTATTGAGAACTTTAGCAGGAATGTTTATCAGGGTTCACAGACTATAGTTTTGTTTTTCTTGTATCATCCCCTGGTTATAATCAATAGGTAACAGTGGCCAGCATGAAATCAGAAGTGGTATTTCCCTTACACGTCTAAACATTTTAAACAATGTCTTAGTTCTTTTTTAAAAAATTCAACTGCAAGGGCATCTGGACCTACAACTTTCTTCTTGATACCCTTTTTATTACTGATTCAATCTCATTCGATATCCAGCTACTTGTGCTTTTATTTCTTTAGGGTTAAATATTGTTAGACATCTCTGTCCATGTCCAGGAATTCATTCATTTTTTTCAAAGTTTGCCACTTTATTAACATATAATTTTTTATAATGCCTAATAATCCTTTGGATTTCTGTGGTATCAGTTGTAATATTACCTTTTTATCTCTAATTTTATTTACGTGTTGTCTCTGGTTTTGATAGTCTAACAAAAGATTTTCTAAAATTTAGTTTACTTTTTCAAAACACTAACTGTTCCATTGAACTTTGGTATTGCATTTTAAATACTATTTCTTGTGTCTCCACTTTCAAGATTGTTGTTTGCTTTTTGTCTATCAACTTTGGTTTTTATCTATCTTACTTTTCCAGGTCCTTAGACATTGTTAGGTTTGTTACTTACAATCTATTTTTTTAGCTTGATGCTTGTTTCCATAAGCTTTCCTCCAGGTACTGTATGTACATGATATATTCCACAGCTTTCAGCATGTTCTACTTCAATGTTTATCTTTTTCAAAATACTTTTACATTTTCTTTTTTATCTCTTTAATAAACAGTTTTTCATTCAAGACTTTATTATTGCCAAACATGGTGGCACATAGTTATTATTCAAGCCATCTGGGAAACTGAGGGGAGAAGATCTTAAGTTCAAGTCCACCCTGGGCAACTGAGTGACTTAGAAAGACCCTACTTAGAAACAAAATATAGGAAAGGTTACAGATGTAGCTCAGTGTGAAGATCCCAGTTCAGTCTCTGGTACCACAAAAGCAAACAATCATCAGCCACAGCAAGAAAAAAACCAGTTTGGTGTTTAGTGTTTTATAGTCATATAACTTTAAAAGTATTCCATATTTTTGCTTTAATTTTTAATTCATTGAGATGACAAAAGCACAAAACACACTATTCTGTACAAAGGTTCTTACACTGAAGAACAGAATGTATATTCCTCATCTACTGAATGGAATATTCTTTAAATACCAGCTAAATTCTCTTGATGTAGTTTAAATTTTTGTTTGGATGATTTCGTTTAATAATTTGGCTACATAATCTTTTACTAATGAAACTTTGCTGTTGAAGTCCACCTATATTATTCTGTTAGTTTATTATATTGGAGGATTTCTCTCCTTCTGGTCTAACAATTTTTTTTATTTTTGTTCTATAAAATTGATTGCTCTGACAGATACATATAGACAAAATAAATTTACCTATTAGGTTAATCATCCTTTCACCATTATATAATTATTTTTTCTTCTTACATTTCTTTTTAAATATGTATCTTATTCTGATATATGCATAGCTATTCCTATTTGCTTTAGGTTTCCATTTCTTTGGTATATCATTGCCCATCATTTGACTTTCAGTCTGTGCATGCCTTTACTAGTGAAGTGAGTTTCTCATGGGTAGCATACTGTGGGGTCTTGTTTGTAACTTTGTTCATGCAGCTTGTGTGTCTTTTAGAAGAATTTAACTTATTTACATTCAAGGTTGTGACTGAAAGTAAACACTTCTTTCATAATTTTTAGTTTTCTCCTAGTTGTTTTGTACATTTTGGGGATATTATTACTTTCTTATTCATCTTTTTAGCTTGATTCTTTATTGTATTGATTTATTTTATTCATTTCTATTTCCCTTTAACTCTTCTAGTGAAATTTATATGTGCTTTCACTGTGGCAGTTATCTTTATTTCACTTCTGAATTTAACATTCTTAAGCATATTTTGTAAACTTGATCTGTTGATAATAAAATCCCTTGCTACTTACCGTCTTGAAAGTCAGTATTTCTCTTTCATTTCTGAAAGCTGAATGGTATTTTTGACTGGCAGTAATTTTGTCTCAGAACTTAAATATGTAATTTCATTCTTTCTTAGCTTATCAGGTTGCTGTGAGAAATCTACTGTTAATCTAATAGAGAGCACCTTAGAGGTGGTTTGGTGCTTTTCTCTTGGACATTAGAATTCTTTCCTTTGTATTTCTGAAAGTTTCATTAGCATGTCATGTTGGAGATGCTTCATGTTAATGTGTATTTTGGGTCCTGTTGCCTCCTATACTTGGATATCTGTTTCTCAAATATAAGAAAATTCTCTTCATTATTTCATTAAGCTGACTGTTTATCCTTAATTTTATTCTCTTCTCCTTTGGTATTCTGAAAATGCAAACTTTTTATTTACTATTGTTCCACATGGCTTGAATAGTCTCTTCGTTCTTGTTTTCCTACTGAGATATTTCTAAAGACCCTGTTTCATGTCAGATATTCTTTCTTACACTTTATTTAGTCTTGTTCTACCATTTTCTTTGTTTGAATTGAAGAGATTTTCATTTCTTGAATGTCTAGTGTCTTTTCAAAATCTCTCTGCTTAAAGTTTCATTTGTAAGTATGCTGTCTTCCTAATTTTATTCAACTGTTTATGGGTATTCTGTTGGATAACTTTGAATTTTAAAAAAAATATCATTTTCAATTATTTTTTTGAGTACCCCATATAAAATTTTTGATCTGTTACTACAGAGTAATTGTATTGTTTTATAGGCCTGCTATTGCCTTATTTCTTTCTTCTGTGACCTTATATTGAGATTTTTACATCTAGTGGATCAGGTAGCTCTACCACACATATATAGGGGGAGAGATATCTTAGTAGAAAGATTTTGTTTGAAAATGTGTATTTAGGTGCTATTTTATGAAGCATTGTTGGCCTTTCCCAAGGAAGGCAGGATAGCTAAGTCTCTCTATATGACTTCTTTGGCTCTAATTTAGTACTGGAGACACATTGTGATTCATAGCAGATTTGGAGAGACTCGGTTTTTCTGTGGGCTTTGCAACAGTCAGGGTACTTTAGCAGCTCGGACATGTGTAGTACATAAAGCACAGAATATGGGGTATTTCTTACGTGGCTACTCCTAAAATGGGAATGGTGATTCTAACGTGGTGATGGACAGGCATGGCTGGTGCTAGCTTTGCCACTTTCAAGAGACTGTCATGGGGTTGGTCACCAAAGTGGTAAAGGGCCTGAGGCACCCGTTCTGTAACTAGACAGTGGTGTGAGGCCAGCCTGTATGGAAAAAGATAGCTGAGAGCACAGCAACCCTTTGTGACCCTCGTCTCCACCCTTGGCAAGAGCACATGGTCAGATGCAGGGTGAAGGCAGGGTGGCGGCAGGAGATGCATAGATAGTGTGGCAGCAGGGACCGGAGGATGCTGTTCTGCTGCCAAATGCAGATGCTAGCCTAAGCAGAGCATCATGATCATAGCCACAGTTTTTGTCCCAGTACCTTCAGTTGCCCAGTGTGACAATTTGCTTCATCTATAATTTAAAAACTTACTGCAAATCAATTGCACATTCATCCTTACCCATAGTGACTCTTTTGTTTGTGTGTGTACTGTATTGTGAAAAACTTCAAAAGTGTGCTTTTGTCAATTTCAAGTAAACAATATAGTATTATTAGTTAGAGCTACCTAATGCTGTACATTAGATCCTCAGTTCTTATACATCCTGTAATTCAAAGTTTATACCTTTTGATCAATGACTGAATCAAACGCAAACAGCCATGATAGAATCTAAAAAGCAAAGTTCTTAATATAATTGATACTATTAATATTTATAGTAACATCAAATTATCACACACTAAACATTACATTTTCAAATCACTATCTTAACTTTTTTTAAATCCATGTGATATTTTTCCAGTTTCTTGGAAAACCATTTTGAGTAAGAATTCCTGAAACATGAAACATTTTACTGGGAAACTAGATAGTCTTTGTAGAAAATGTTTATGCTACTTAATAAATTTTGGTCATCTTTTCAGAACCGTGTGTAATCTCAGAAGAAACTATGGAAAAATATAATATAATTCTTTCATGGAAAAAAACACAGAAGCTTTATGCCCCATCGGGGGATTCAGTGGAATTTAAGTGTAAAAATGGATATCGTCTAGGAAATCAGGCATCATTTCGCGTGACTTGTCGTGATGGCCACCTGCGGTACCCTCGTTGTGTCCCAAAATAATTATGATTAGTGGCAATGGTATGTTTGGCTTTATCCAGGACTTTTATTAGTAACCCAATTCTCAAATTTATTCTTAAGTATTGTTAAACTCGTTTTTATCCATAAATGAGAATTTGGGTTCTTGTGTGGTGATGTGTTGAGAATTTGAGAGACCAGTGGCACCCTTCTCAAAATATTGTATTCAGACTTGGCAAATCAAAATGCTGTGTATTGATTCTCTTCATAAAAATTATGGCAAGAAACATAATTACTTTAGTGACTGTCTCTTCCTACTGTCTTAAATATCCCCAAGCTTTCTACACAACTCCTGAGTCTCTGAGAATCTTTGTTTCCTGGTGCATGAAAAGAATACCATCACTCACAAGTGTGTGAAAAACAAAATCACAACTGAGTATAAATATACCCAATTACTACCTATTAATTATTAGTAAATGAATGTAAAAATGATGACATATATGAGCTTGTAGAATGTATTAGTCTAGTACCTTTCATGATAAAAACAAATCTTAAACAAAATTAAAGCTGAATCATTCATATAATTATATAAAAACTTCTAGCCAGGCTGAAAAATAAAAATGAAGAGAAAATAATTCAGAGCTTTGTCCAAACTCATTTATCGAAGTCAGCATTATTGTGATATCAGAGCTACACAGGGATAGCGCAAGAAATTACAAGCCAAATATACCTGATGAATCCAAGATCAAGGTCAATGCAAAAATCCTCAGTTGGAAAATTTAATCCAACAAGGGAATTGTAACAACAAGGGAATCCATTTTCCTTGTTGCTGGGACAAAATACTTGACACTCACAACTATAGGAGCAGCTTATTGTGGCTCACCATTACAGTCCGTGCTCAGCTGGTTCTGCAGCAGGAGCAGCAGGGTGGCAGGGCCTGGGCAAAGAAAAGCTGCTCACACCGTGGAGACAGAAAGCAGCAAGCATGGAGGAGCCAGTGAAGAAACTGTGCCCTGCCAGCTCACACTCTCAGTGACCCACCTCTTCTTCAAGTCAGTCTAGCACCTTCACACACCAATCAGACTATAAACACACAAGCCGTAGGGACCATTTTGGACCTAACCGCAACACAATTCAATAGCCTCCAAACCTCCACGCCTGGGCTCCTGGGGCAGGAGGGCATGCTGCAAATGCAAGGTTATCTTGCTCATGGATAGGAAGAACCAACACTGTCAAAATGACCATACTGCCAAAACTGAATTTCTCACAACATATACTTGGAATTAAATGATGCATTACTGTAATTGCATGATTTTTAATATTACGTTTAGGGCTGGTGACAATAGTGTCTGTTGTACCTTTTAGATTTTCATTACTTTTACAGGTTCTCACCTTAGTGAGATAATATGATGTTTGTACATGAGGATCTGATTTATTTTACTTACCAATAACCTCTAGCTTCATTTATTTATCTACAAACCCTCAAATTTATCTTTTTTATAGCTCAAAAATAATCCATTGTGTAAAAATACCATATCATTTTTCTCCATTCCTCAGTGGATGGGCATTTGGGTTGTTTCCAAGATTTAGCTACTACAAATTGACTGCTATAAACATGCACATATCAGTGTTAATAGATAAGCCTTCTATAGCCCTTTGCTTGACAAGAGAAGGAAGTTAGAAGAGCTATCCCCTCTATCTTATTTAGGTGTGGTCTTGTCAAGTTGATACCATCTTTCTGGTTTCATATACTGAGTTTCTGCTTGAGCAGTGGGCAGCCTAGATATTTGATTCTGGTAAGACTTTCAGTGAGCCCCATCTAAGAGAAACATGCCCTCCACTCAGCCTCTCTTTGTTTCCTGTTGCTAGAAGCACGACTCACTCATGATGAGGCAGCGTGGTCACTTGTAGTAAGCTTAACCTGAACTGGATATTCAGGGACATTTCAGCAGCTGCTGAAGGCTTTGTTTCGTTTTCATATCAGGGGTTTTTCATTCTTTCCTGCTAAGGTGTCAGCTATCTATAAATAAATGGAACAAGAATGGAAAGAAATGGCACTTGGCACTGTGAGGTAGTATGGGTGAGCTCCTGGCTGAATACAACCCACTGGGGTGCACGCTGGAGATTTCCTGTCTCCATCAGTTAGGATCTGAATAGTGGTTTGTACCTTCATTGTGTCATTTTTGATTACCAGTACCTACAGGAGACCTAAATTCCAGCAATTTATGTCTATGGAGAGTACTCACTCTTTTTTTCTTTTCTAACTTTGTTTTTTCCTTTCATTTTTATTTATTTATTTATTTATTTATTTGTTTGTTTGTTTGTTTTTATTGTAGAGAAGGGCCTACAGGGTGGTACGGGTCTCACTACTAGATCAGAGTCATAGTGATCCACCTGTTTACAGCCACCCAAGAGCTGGGATTACAGGCACGCGCCACCACGCCCAGTCTCAATCACTGTCTCAGTGGGTCCTGGGGGCGGGGCCCACACGGCAAGCCCAAGGATCAAACCCCTGTCCCCTGTACCTGCTTGCAGGTGCCTTAATCCGCTGTGCTATTTGGCCAGCCCTTCTTTTTCTTTTCAATACAAATATTTTATTTCTAAAATGGGAAGCTCAGTTTTGACACCACTAAACAGTCAACTGAGGAGCATACCCTGGCAAGGCAGTTTACAACTATGCCCTTTATGACTAGGAAGGAGTTGGTGAACTGCTGTGAACTGTATGGTCTCTGTGTGCGTTAGGTTCTGGTAAAATATGCCAATTAATGGGTCCTTAAATCATCTTAATATTTTATTGCAATTGCTTCATTAAAGTCCAGATAAACAGAATAAAATCCCTTATGCACAATCTTCTGAGTTCCTTTTTAATAAGGACTAAGAAACATAGAACTAGGTTGATGGTTCACAGAAGAGGGAAAAAATCCAATTTCCCCCACAGATAGTAAAGCTCAAGAGGGAAGAGAAAATGAAGAATCTGGGTTTTTAAATGCTTTATATTAATGTCTAGTTATGTAGCGGCCACAATACCACAGGTTCCACATCAACCTGTTTCCCCCACTGTGTGGAAATGAGCCAGAAACTGTCACTCCTGACCTGACAAGGCACCACACTCAGTTTGTCCATAAAATATCCCATTTGAGGGCATGGAAATATTCTGGAACACAACATCCAGTTAGAGGCCCGTGGTGCTATGGCTAGAACTGTCCATTCCCAGAATCATATTTGTGAATTTGAAAGGCTCTAATATTAAGTCCTATAGTCCCATGTGCTACATACAAAGTAATCTGGAGGAAGATATGAACTCCAAAGGGCTTGGGGGTCTCAGCTCCTATAGCACTGCTGTGGGTTATAGCTCTGATGGTTTCAAACTTGGGCCAGGTTTGCTCACTCTTTATGGCTTTCCTCAGATGTTTCCAAACTTCTGGGATTTCCTGCAATGGCACCATTGACTTCACTCTCATAGCTTTACATGCTGCCCTCTCGGGGTGACTGCTTTGTCCCTCAGGCTGGCTGAAATCTGAATGGAAGCCTTCCTGACCCCACCACTCTTCCACTCTGCATGTACCTCAAACCAGCCTCATGTGGATGATGCCAGACTCTGCTGCCAGTCTTAGCAGTCCACAGGCTTCCCTCTCTCTCTTGGCTGTAGGGATCAAGCCTGCATCACTGGGTACTCTGAATCCAATTCTGAGGAACAAATTTTCTAGGCCATTGCTATTTGGGAACATGGTACAATAAGGTTTTCTTCTCAAAGCAAATTTTTTTCTACTTTTAAAATTTTACTTTTGCTGTTTCTTGTGATGCCCTTAGGCCATCTTTTCTATTCTGCTCCTTCTCATATCTAGATCTCCTCTGCTCTATCTTTAGTTCATATATTTATAGGAACTTCCTTTCTTGCCAGAACCACAACATGTTAAATCATTATGCTAGGCTCTTTGGTCTTGATTCTCAACATAGATCTGGCTAAAAGCCCCCTACAGTAGCCATTCTACTTTAACATTAGCTATTCCACTGCTTCAACATTAGACTGCCTAGAGATTGTTTTTTACCAGATTAAGTAGTCCACTGCCTTTAATCTCAGTCCCAGGCAAAGCCTCTGGACATGAACAAAATGCAGACAAATTTTCTGCCAAGCCGTGACACAAATCATCTGAAGTCCAGCAGCCAATGCAGTCCTCCTTCCCAACAGAAACCTCCTGTTGCTGGTATTCTGACCAGAATCTTATATACAGGACAACCTCTATTTTTTCAGTCAGCATCTCTGAAACTATCCGAACACTCCCTGCAAGCCATTTCCAAGGGCTTCTGAATCACATGTTTGGGTACAGTCACAAAAAGGACCCCAGTTCTCTGGTACCAAATCTGTCTTAATTACTTTTCTGTCATTGCTGAGAGACAATACCCAACAGCCAAAGCTAAAGAAGGAAAAGTGTATCTAGCTCATAATTGGTAGAGATTTCAGTCCTTACTCCACTGACTCCAAGGCTGGGTGGAACATGGTAAAGGAGCAATTGTTCATGGAAGCAAAAACCTCTTTCTGTCCCTTATATTATATGCAGGCTATCCTTATCCACCCCAGGGTGGGTGTAGTACTCAGACCCCTGTATCCCAGGATTGGACCATTAAGTAAGTTCTGAAAAATCCCACCACCTGTGACCACATGAGGTTTTGGAGGAACATCAAGACCATAACAGACAGCACTGCACTGTGGATCAGTCACACACTCTAGATTCAGCCACCTTTGAAAAAGCCTTATGACTGTGTAAGGCTTTGGTGGGGGGAGGGAGACCTAGACACAAGCCATAACAATATCCTTTATTTTTGCAGAAAATTTCAACTGTGGAAGTGGCTATTAGAGTAAGGCCACCCCAGCTGGTGAATGTTTCCTTTAAATTGTATAATGCAGGAAAAACAAAGACAAATGGATAAGAAAAGAGAATCCCTAGGGAAGAACCAATGCACATATTGCAAGAAAGAGAGATGCTGGTAATGTGATTATTTAGTAATAATGATAAGAGGTGAGAATAGGGCAAATGCATAGATCGTGGGAAAAAGCTGTGGTTCCCATGATGGATAGAGAGGCCATGGCCCCCTTAATCTTTCAGAGATAGAGAAGCAAATGATAGACTGCCAGAGTTCCCAGGAAGTTCATATTCTGTTCACAGCACTAAAATGACGCACAGTAGCCGAAACATAGTGTCTATTTATTGTCCATTACAAGAGTAACAGAAAATGTAAAAACAAGAACAGAAAAATAGCTTCTTCCACCTTAAGGAATTCCAACTAGGTCAT